AGTATGTTTAAAGATCTGTTGCATAACCCAATGGACGCACTTTAAAAACACTAAATTGCTTAAGTGGGAAACTATAGTATATGACTTATATCTATAAAACTGATTTTTAAAAAGTCGCACGACTTAAAAACACAACACATTTTCATTGTTTTTGAGTGATTCCAGATGGGCCCCTTGAATACAGGGTTAAGGTGACCTGGCATTTCATATTTTACTCTGCGCATTCACTGTCTATCCTGGCATCAGGCGCAGGGGAAAGGACTGCTTCCCTGAAGTTAAGCATTGGTTCGTTATTCATTAATGTTTAGCACTGAAGTTCCAAGTGACTGAATCGCAAGTTTTGGTGGGGGGAAAAAGCCTATGTGATTTTCACTTTAAAAACAAACAATGTAGCCAAGCGTGGTGGCGCATGCCTTTAATCCCAGCACTTGGGAGGCAGAAGCAGGCGGATCTTTGTGAGTTCGAGGCCAGCCTGGTCTACATAGTGAGTTCCAGGACAGCTGGGACTACAAGGAGACCCTGTCTCAAAAAGACAAAAAAAAAAACAACAAAAAACAAAAAACAAATAATGTGCTTGTGCTTGATACGGTGGCACACATTTGTAATCCCAGCCCTTGAAGGGCTGAGGCAGGAGGATCAGTTCAAACAGCCCCAACTACACAGCAAGCTGGAGGCCAGCCTGCACTAGAAGAGACCCTTCCTCAAACATAGCAAACCAGGGAGGGTGGGATGGTTCAGGAGGTAAGAATGCCAACTAATCCCTAAGCCTGACCACTTGGGCTCTAGTCCACGTCTCCACACGGTGGGAGAACCGACTCTTAAATTGTCCTCTGACCTCTACTTGTGCGTCACGGCATGAGCACCTACACACATACACAGTGAAATACAGGTGAATGTAATTAAAACAAACAAAAAATAACCACTGATCCAAACGAACCAAATAACCCAACAGGAAAAAAGTAATATTGGGCGTAGTGGCCCTAGCTTGGACTCAACCGTGGCAGGGTTGCCACGAGATAGAGGCCAGCCTTGGCTACAATTAGAGACTTAAAAAAGGAAAGAAAAAGTAACACTTTGTTTCTTTTTGTAAGATAGAGACCTGGTTTCAAGCTTCATTGTAGCGCTTCTCAGCTTCGCAAGTTGTTTTCCCGTGTATTAAGCGGTAAAGGGAAAAACAGAACGTTTTTTAAAAAAGTGGCTGATTAAAATCGCTGCCTTTGGACACTATTTTTTGAATCTAGCCTAGCCTTGCGACTTTAAGCCAGCAGAGGACTCGGAAGGGAAGGGTGTGACACGTCTTCTCCCGGTTTCTCGCGTCCTTTCCCGAGCTCCGGCGGGGAAGGGGAGAGGCGAGCGGCCTTCGGCGGCCGAGGGCGACTGGGAGCAGCGGGAGCGGCGCGCCGTGAATCCTGGGTCCCGGCAGCACGGAACCTCGGCCGGTGCGCACGCAGCGCAGGCGGAGGGCGCGGGTCACGTGCGGCCGGGAAGTCTGCAGGAATGTAGCAACTCTATGCAGGGAAAGTTTTCCCCGGGGCCGCGGCCGGGGATTCGGTGCGGGCGGGCGCGCAGAGGAAGGAAGAGCCGCGAGGAGGCGGAGCCCGCGAGGTGCGCGGGCGGGCGCTGTGCTCAAGTTTTTAGTTTGGGCTTCTGGAGCCGAAGTTTCTGTCTCAGTCGGGGCGCAGCCGCCGCCGGGGTGAAGAAAGGGAGGAAGGAAGGAAGCCGAGGAGGAAACGGGGAGGGGGAGGGGACGCCCGCTTCGGTGCCGCGGCTCCAGGGAAGTCCTCGCCGCGGGACAACGGGGCGCAGCGTCCCGGGCGCAGGCGATGCGGGGCCGCGCAGTCCCCCGGGCCTGAGCGCACGCCGCCGAGTCGGAGACACAGTCGGGCCGTCCGGGCGGAGCCGAGGCGCAGCCATGGATCCCGGGCAGCAGCCGCCGCCCCAGC